CCTGTTCAAAGGGAGTTTTTCCTTCCCACTGTCGCCAAAGTGCTTGCTCATAGGGGGTCAAATGATTGTTGGGTTTTTCTCTGTACAATATAAAGCGCCTTGAGGTCACTGTTGTTGTGATTTGATGCTGTATAAATAAAATTGAATAGAAAAAATGAATGTCTGCTGAAATTGCACTGATTTGGATTATTTACTGTTTCACTCTTATTTAGTGTCTTTCACTTTAACTACAGTCAGCAAAAGCTGCTCAGAGTCCTCATAATTGCAGCATGGTACTAAATAAGTGTTAGCATGCTGTGGAGGTAACTAGCAGCCGAGGCTCGGTGCAGAACTTTTTAGCACACTGCTGCCTCTCATTGATCATCGTGGGGTCGGTTTGGTGTCCTTTCAGACTGGAGTGAGATGGTCTGAGGCTCGGTTTAAGCCCTGAGTTGGATTTTAGAAAGACTGTAAAATCAGATCCAGGCACATGACCATCTACAAGGAAAGAACACTGTGTCTACCTCTCTCATTAGCATCCAATTAAATTCTGTCTAAACAAACACACAGTCCAAAATTACTTGTTCTGTGTACTTTGTTTATTTACTCTATTTTTCTGTAATGAGAATATTTAGTCCTTTCTGCCTCGAGGTTACAGCGAGCATCTTGTTGTGCTTCCCTTCAGAAACCCGTCTGTTACAGATGTTGGACTGACAGATACAAAACAGCAGAGCTTCAAACAACATTGTCAGTCCACATTTCTTCTGCCAGCAGCAAACTTATACTCATTATTCTGGGCTTCAGTTTATCACTATTTCATGTACAATTTGCAGAATACTTAAAGGGTGCACACACTTTGGATTCTGGCTCGCAGCGTGAGATAAAAAAGTCAAAATCATTCACCTCAGTGTCTGTTCAAATTTTCATGGCGGTCTATCCAGTAGTTTTATTCTCGGCCAAATAACTGATGCAGTCGAACTGACTGATCGACAGCCCCCTCCTTAAAGTCTCGCCGCTGGCACGGGTAAAAGAAAAAAGCCAAGCGTGCAGGCATACTGTGACAGAGACAAAGCCTCGTCCCGAGCTTACAACACACGGGATGGAGCGAGTACAAGGGATAAATGAAGAGCTTATCCCTGCTATAAATCCAACTTAATTCCAGTGTCTAATCAGTATTCTGCCAAGGCCCTCTTTCACACATATTTTCATCTGTTATACTAACCTTCCAGTGTCTGTTAGAGAATCCTGAGTGGAATACCTTCCTTTGGTAACCACAGAGAAACGGTAATGTGGGTTTGAGGCTGTGCCAACAAAGAAGCTGCAGCGGGTACAGTTAATAGATATATTCAAACAAAGAGGAAGCACTGACATCCTCCACACTGCAGGAAAAAGCAGCCTTGGTGGGTATTAGCTCCTGTAATTAGTGGACAGTGTTTAGTGAAAGTAACACACGAAGCTGTAGTGGTGATTACACGACACGCCTTTAACACAGAAGCTAATACAAAGCAGAGAGAAGCAGGACAAAGGCACTTCTGTAATTCAAAATTAAACACATGCAGTTTCCATGTGTGAAAATTATAACAGGATCCTCAAACGTAATAATATAATAGAGGAATAAGCACTTACACGAGTGGCTCACAGCACTCAAAAGCAAAAACAGCAAGGCTATAAAAAGAATGGAAACGTTTCAGGCTGCGTCCACACCACTGTGGACAGTTTTAAAAACGCTTTTCCCGTCCACACTGAGAAAGAAGAGCCCTCGTCTCACTCAAAAATCCAGAATAAGTGATTTTAAAACATAAAGAAGAAGAAAGGAGGACTGACAGGATGTGTCATAAGAGTCGCGTTCACCAGATGATGCTGGGAAATAGTTTGGTTGTTGGACAAAAGAGACTAGGAAAAATTAAAGAATCCATCTCATCGTTTCAACAAAGGCCGTTTGTTCACTGTAGATGGATGAGACGACTTTACAGAACACACAGATTTTCAGAGAAATCTCAGAGGCATCAGATGCATATAGACGAGTATAAATGAGGAAGAGCACGTCACAATTACTAGACTCTGTGCATGTTTATGAAAGATAAACATGTGAAAAATGGCATTTTATCAAAGAGAATATAGAAATATGATAGAGTAGAAGGGTTCTCACAGCAGTACGGCAGGTCTGACTGGCTGTGACCAGAGTCAGAGAAGTCAGTGCCAATCAACGAATCACTTTAATTTTTCAGGTTATTCAATAGAAAAAATATATTTTGTACTCATAAATATACATAGATTAACATGTAAGTCTGTCTTGCAACAGGCCTTTAATTAATCCTTTAAAAATATAAACAGGTTTGTGAAAGTCGCCGTGTTCCCTCGTGGCCGCTCGTCAGGTATGTAACACCAAACACCAAAGGACGAGAGAAGTCGTAGGCGTGCCGTGGACGGACATTTAAATTTGTGTCTGCACCTTCAGACTCAAGCTGTGAATGATCGTACCTGTTTCATTATCTGAGACGATAGACGAGGTCCCCTTCACCAAAGGAAAGTGAAGCCACAACACGTCATCTGCTTCCTCTTTGCTCTTCTCCTGATCTGAAGTCAGGGCTCTAACACATGAAAACCTGCATAAACACAGTCATTGTCACAATTACTTATTGTCAGCAGATTAAACATGTGACCCTCCCTCTCCGGATGTTGCGGCTAAACAACAGCAGCTGGTTTTAAGCTAAGAATATGCCAGCTTATATTAGGCTCTGGTGTCCTAAAATCACAGTTTCTCTCTGATATATCAGTTTGATCACATTCTCACATCATGTGTGAGTGTATTCAGAGTGTCAGAGTCCAACAAAACTACATCCACTCCAAAAAAAAGTTCCTCTAACACAGACTAACGGCAGCTAAAGCAGGCTAGCAGAGGCTAATAGTAGCTAACAGAGGCTAAAGCATCAGAAACAGAGCAGCTCACCTCAGTATGGCTAGGGATGGGTATCGTTTAGGTTTTATCCAATACCAGTACCAAACCGGTACTTTTGAAACGGTGCCGGTGCTTAAACTGTGCTCAAACCGGTGCTTAAAGAATGGAGAACACA